TAATCAAATCTATGGTTGCACCTACAGTTGTATTTTTGACTTGTACTCTGATAATATCTTTCAATCCACATTGTTGTGTGAAGACTGTTGCTTCGGCAATCACTGTTTCGACATGGCAAGTTCATATTAGTCATACTAGACTTCTCTCAAGTCAGTATGATTTGACGAACCTTGAAGGCTTAATGCGTTAACATACCAGATCAAGATTCATTTTACAACACAAGCTGCTAAAGTTAAAGTCTCAACTTAGACAGTTCTTGTTGTAGTACAACTTTATAATTTACTAGTGCTTTCTTCAGAATTGTTTTCTGACGCGATACCGCTAAACTACTTTGTTCATCTTAATATATCCGATGCGACGCTGTATTTTACATCTATCACTCTATCATCAGCACTAGCACTACATTTTCTTCTCGTAGGTAACTTTATTATGATCTGATATTCACTTGATGTGGGTAACATATAAATACAGACTACACTTGTGGGTGGATCCATTCAAAAATACATCTATTTGCGGAATCTTGATACATAGAGCTCGATGAATGGCAAGATCTGAAGATCTTTCGAGAGATATAAGATTCTTTATGAAACTTCTCTCGCGATGAATCACAGCAATATTTTGCTCGAATTTAGGAGCTACATGCTCGATGTGCGCGATGAAGGATACCTTGTGCTGTAGAATTTGACGCCTGCTATATGTAGCCTCTGAAAATTTGGCTCGACGGCGCAACTTAGATTCAAGGTCCGCGTTCAGGGTGAAAGCAGACTGACACACTTGGTTTAGCCCAGAGGAATGCGTTCAGTACTATTTGTTGGCCTGAAGTACGTTCAACTCTTGGAAGTAAAACATACTCTTTCAAAATTGCAGTAAACCAACGTGGCGGTTGGCAATGATGCATCTTGATTGCTTGGGCATGGCAGCTCACCTCGATAGATCGTAACGGCAAAGTGATATGCTTCGCCAGCCTAGCAGTTGTCGGTTGTGTAAGAGAAGGTAGCAACCAAATCACCTGATACCCTTGTTGCTTTGTCTGCTAATCAAATATAAATTGCCATTTAATCATTGCATTGGTCAATCGTTTAACTTTGTAAGGATGTTGACATATGGGGATGGCCAAACAATTTGCTTGCTTGCCATGGACACGTTCGTCGGTACAATCGATTAGTGAATTCTTAAATATGCATCATCGGTTTGGTTTTTCAATACTCGGGTCGAAAGCAGCCCATTAGGGAGAATCGGTTTTGGATAACACTCTTGGCCAGTGCAGACACGCGATATTCGCCACCGGAAAGGTAGAGCTAGTATTTTTGAAATCGCGGCTCTCGTTGGTGCGTTGATGCCTTTGTATCATCGACGATACCAGTGATTTCGAAAGCAACATTGACATTCTTGTGTCGCCTTTTGGAGAGCTTGCTCGGCAATATGATGAAGGCAATGCTTGATATCAGACGCTTGTCCTCATTCTAAATAGAGCAAGTAGTGGCAGCATCTTTTTGACCTGAAGAGTATTCCTCGTCTGAATCAAGGTGTCTGGTGAAAACCCAAATGGACAATGGAAAGAAGGTTTTGCTTGCTGCCACTTGAGTAATGGATAAAACTGGGATTGGAAACCATCCCTACGACACTTTAAAGCTACTTGCTTGGCCCATCTGCCGGTCCTGCCTGTTTACGAATGAGCGTCGAGTCTAGCTTTGATGACATGGGATTGGAAGCTGAAAGACTCTATAGTTTGCTAGAGAACATATAAATGCATAGGTACACAGTATACATTACCATGACTGAATGCCATTGATAAACTGATGGCCTGGAGTAGCTGCTTAACACACCAGAAAGCTTTATGGAATTCATATTCACAGCACAGCTGCAGGAATGCATGGTGGCAAAGGATAATCCAAGCTGAAAATATCGCGCTGCATAAAATCAATTACAACGTCTCCAGTACTGCTTTATAGTTCTTCATATCCTCGTTGCTTCAATTCTGGATATCCACAAGCTACGATTAATGAAAGCCTTTTCCATGATGTGGACGGCCTAAACGGTGTATCTGTGACTATCAAGAGTCGCACTTTTTTAGAGATCATGATGCATTGATTGACTGATTCACCTTTTTCCGACTTCTCACTGAAGATATGGCTTCAAGTGAATTCCTCACCACCCTATCGATGAGTTTACAAAATGAGCGCAAATGGCGAAATGTTCAGGTCATCCTACCCGAGTCGTTTGGGCTGGTGGTACATGTGCTGTCGCAGCAGGCCCGGTTAATTGAAAAGCTAGAGCATCGCTTATGTTCTATGGAGAGTAATCATCTCGAGGCAGTAATGTCAGCCCAAATTGCTGCTATGGAAGAGCGCATGTGTGCGGATGTGAGGCGCCAGATAGCAAGTATACAATCAGAGGTTCAAGATGCTTTTTCAAGTTTGATGAGGAAGTCGAACTTATAGTGCATCACTTTGTTTATGTGCAGTTTTCTGGTCATTTGGAGCAGCAGCAGTTGTTAATTCAGCAGATCAAAGATTGCTCGAAAATTGAAACTCAAAAACAGCGCGAGCAAGTGGACAGAGTTCGTTCTTGATTAATGCAGCAAGTCTTTTGAAGAAACCATTGACAACTGTACAAGTGTATGCAGGTAGAGCAAAGCGTGGAGCAGCGGTACTTTTGCTTGGAGAAACAACTGACTCAGTTTATTGAAAGTACGCAGCAGCATTTGGAAACCCAGAATGTTCAGTTTAAGTCAATACGTACCCTACACGAGGAGACTTTGACTAAGATAAGTAAAGTTTTCGTTCAAAAGGTGGAGAATCTGGAAGATGAGCTACTGAAAAGAGAGATAAGTAGTGAAGCTACTTCCATCATTGCTACTGAGGAACTTGTAACTCTAAAGAGTTATGAACAAGATTTGGTGCGCTTTGATTGTGAGAAACAGGAACCTCTGGAGCTGATCTGCATTTCTTAATGCCGTTCAGGATAATATTCATCAAAATCTGGCTCGTACCTCGCAAGAGACTGAAGCTCGATTTGTTGAGCTGTTGGCTACGCATCGGAAAGAGCTCATGACGGTCATGGAGGATAAGGTTTGTAAGAGCGAGGTGGCGAAGCTTCTTAATCGCAAAATGGATGCAAGTACGTCACGTCTGAATTCATGTTAGGCCAAAGTATTTAGACTTGAACATTTCTCAAACAATCAGTGGATGCCTGGAAACAACTTGCCGAAAAAGCGGATTGTATCAAAGTAGAAGAAGTTGCATGCAGTCTTATGGATAGCATCCAACGATATCAAGAGACAGCAACAGAAGAATTAGACCGATTGAAACAGCTTAACAAATCAAAGGCAGACGCATTTGAATTGGTGCAGGTTAGGCATAATTTGGTAAGACGTATATTGTCTTGCATTATTCACTTGTAGCTAATGTTGATATGTCAGCATAACATATTATCAGTAGCAGAGTCCATGCAGCATGAGCTGACTACTCTGCACCGGCAAATGAACGAGAAAATGACGGTTGTTGATGTAAAAGAGTTGCTGAACTCGCAAGTAACAATAAATGGACTGCAAAAACCAATGAAGGAAGTTGAAAGTGTTACAGTGGATAATTTTGCGACCAAAGTAGCATACGACGATTTATACCAACAAGTTCACGCCATCACGATGCAGCTTCGCAGTGAGATGTACCAAGCCCGTTACGTAAGCATTTTGTACGATCAATTCTCAAGTTAATAACCTAACATGATCGAAATTTTATAGATCTGGAAAGATGGTCGCTTGAGTTTAAAGCATAGGATTCAATGGAGCTCTCAAGCTGTAAATACGAATGAGGATGTTTTCCATTGGCAAAGTGGTTCGGATGAAATACGGCTGCATCCGCCTGGACTTTACCATCTTCAAGCATCATTTTTTACTGTTTGCTCACCATTAATTCAAGTACTTGTGAACGGAGAACCAGCAATAATCAGGCACTCGACGGCTGATTTAAAAAACATGGCAATGTTTCATCCCTGTGCTTTCCAACGTCTTCACCATCCGGCTGGTAATATTGCAGGTCTATCAGTTGATGTTTTCCTAGCACTACCACCGCGAGCACTGGTTGCTATATCATACGATGCTGAAGAACAGGCACAAGGTTTTCTAAATTTACGAAAACTTTAGGCTAAGCAAGTTTGCTACAACATGGCAAACTGGTGTGGGTAGTGCCGTGCATTCATTATCAGAAAATGCTGACGTGAGTCATGATGAAGGAGGTCGAGCAGTAGATGTTAGGAGAACTTTCTAAAGCAGTACATACTTATTGTAAAAGATCCGTTTGGCTGATCACAAATGAACACAGCTATGAGTTCACTTCGACACCCTAAAACCTCATGCTGCAGCTAACAGACTCAAGCGTTGAACTTCACATCTAGCATATTGGTGACATACCACCATAAAATCGCCAGAATGTCGAGTTTTTCTGCATTGTTCGTAAGGTCGATTACTAAAGAGCTCGTTTTATAAAATCATTGAAAGGTTATGAGGAAGTGAAAGCGTTTTTATACATAGATGAGCAAAATTCACGAGTGATAAGGTACTTGTTTGAATGAAACGACGCCAAAGTCCCTTCAAAAATGCGTCTACGTTATCTCGCTTTATTCTTCAGCTTACTACGTGGCTTTTCAATATGGGGGTCGGCACTGAAAGGCAGATCAGCTACAGACGTTAAAGCTTTTAATCACGTGCTGAGAGCTGAAATTGAAGCAGTCAGACAGCAGCTAAAACTGTACCGACAGAAAGCGAACTATCTTTCAAGTGCGATCTATCAATTTCAGAGCCTGAATGAAACAATCGATTTGTCAGGATCCATGCTTAATGTCAGTGCGAAAAAGTTTCATTCGAAGCCTCTAAAGAATCCAAAACTGTTGAGCAACTGGTTTGAGCCTCAAGGAACATTCAGGCTGATAAACTCGACGCAAGTATTGACCCAATTGATTTCATTTCGGCCCACTATCAGTAAAAGAGCTCACAAGCGCTCGCGACACAAGAAAAGCACGAATGACGAACCGCCGCTGCAGTTTCTGCTGGTAGTCGATCGATATTCGACTGTCATGAAATTGATCCATCCGATAACGTTTGAGCTCATGTGGCAACATGCGCTAAATTTACGATCGTTATCAACTGACGAAGAATTTCACATAGCCGACATCTACTTTGTTTCGGATCGTCGTTCGTATTTGGTAATTCTCTCAACGTTGGGCGACGTCGTGCTTTTCAAACTTCGACTTTGGTATGGCCGGCGAATTATCGCTGGTGACGTTCGACATTTTGATACTCGTCAAGTGCAAGATCAAAGCAAACTTCAGTGCTTAAAGGGACAAGATATGATCGATCTCTTTTGTGAGTCAAAACCACCATGGGTACGCTCGAGTTTGACAGTGCCAAGTTTTGGAAAGTATCTTCATGTTGACGTAGAACGCATTTTTGCAGCAACTCTTAGTCCCCAATGGGATTATGACCACGGTAAAGTGGCAGTTGTGACGTTCTATCATCATATGTCTGTGGTTGCTGCAGACAATTCGGGTAGACATTTATCATTTTACCATGGCAATGGAAGTTTTATCAAAGATCTCCACACACAGAAAGAGATTCATGGCAGTTCAATGGTGCAGCTAGGACATCTTCAAAGTGGCAAGGGATTAATTGCGGTAGCGACACAATACCAAATTAAGTTTGTTGATGCTTCTTCGCTTCACATGGTGCCAGTTGTATGCGAGGCTCCAGGGCCACATACGTTCTCAAGTGTAGCTGTGGATCCACTACATCAAACTACTTTTTACGCTGGTACTTCAACAGGCCGTGTATTTGTCTTCGAATTACACAACTTAGGAGGTTGGAGACAGCAAGTTAAAGCTCACAACCCGCTTGTATGCACTTTAGTGAAGCAGCTGATGCCTCGCCTGCCATATAGGCTTGATTTTGGTCTTAATTTGCCAGTTATTGTAAAGACAATGCCTCGATATCTGCTTATGGGTGCTGGCTCACATTTATTGCTCTATCAATTGTCTAGCAGTAGCGAGAAAGCGCAAGCAATTTATCTATCAGGAAGTTCGCTAGATGACTCATTGCAGATGCTGGACATGTCTGTTGCTAACGATCTCATTACGCACACTATTGGATTTGTCATACTAGCTTCAGATATTAATGAAAGCTGTCGTCTGGATATTTACAAATCGCGCATAACTCCACATGACATCAACTTTGATCTTAGCTGGATACGCTTACCCGCCATGATGATTTGTGCAGTAGCAGCTATTTATTGGCAACGAAAAGGTCGGCCGGGTAGAAGAAATATGTTTGATGAAGCAGAGCTGACAAGTCTGCTGAGCAGTAGAAATGGTCAATGGTCGAGCTCACGCATGATGAATCGTGGTGGAATGACTATGGATACAAAAGCTAAATATTGGCAGTAAGCAGTCACTTCAATGTGATAAAAATCGATGTGGTATGTATGATCATGAGAGCATGGTTGATGTATAGAGGTGGACAAGTTGTGACTAGGCACGGGAAGTGGATATAGTTAATCAATCGTGTAGTGTACCCTAGCTGCGACCGACATTGAAACTTTAAGGTTACTGATAAAAGGAATCACGACCAGAGTGGTATGGAGAAATGATGCGTTTGTCTGAAGCTTACTTCATGAGTGAGATATCTTTCCATATGAAAATTTGAGTATAAAAAAATGTGCACGGAGCTGTTGGTTGTAAGCACACACTAAACCAAATAAAAAATTGATTTTCGGTAACTCACATAATTCATACATAAGCGTAATCTCTGATGATGATCATACCTTAAAACGAAAGACCAAAACGCTTTCAGAATGCATAAGCCTATCTAATTTTACGTTCGGTTCTGTGGAATTGCTATCACCGAAGCATGTGCACACAATTTATAGATTCCTCAAGACAAGAAATATAACATCAATGCGAAAACAGGAGAATGGCGATAACGCATATAATCAATCACAATTTTTGCCAGCTTAAAAAGAACAAGTTATGTTTATAACTCGCGAAGATTGGTCAGATTTGCCTGCGCACAGTGCCACAAGAGCTACTGAACTTGAGCAAAATATAGATTTGTCCAGCTAGCATGGTGCACTTTTTGTCGACATCCACCTGAGAACGAAAACTGTAGAGGACATTTGCGACAAACGTTCGACTCCACGCGTTCTTACAAGAACAAGCTGACTTGTTCTACGGCAGAATTTATTTTGAGGGCAGATGTGTTTCAAGCCAGGTCATCTTGGTCAACTCATCAAGTCGAACAGGCATTTGCGTAGTAGTCAAGCCTGTCGAGGTCGTGGCACAAAGAGTGCTACATATACGTGTTACAAAGCTGATAGCAAGTCTTGGTAGAGGACGTAAAATGTTGTTGGGGTTAACAGTATTACAATGCCTTAGTCAGCATCAAAGAATAACATCAACTTAAGCTAGCTGCTTCTGTTTGTCGTGACTCTCAGCCATAGCGTTGTACACCCTACGCATACCACTCAATCAAATTGAGATAAAGTCGCTGATTTTGCTACGATGTGGAATTGGGCTGATATCAGTGACTCAGTATCTATCGACAGCACCTCCCTCACCAAGACTGGATCATTTTTTTTCTTCATAGCGGTACGCAGCTCTACTAAGCCATTCAGTTGAAGTAGGTTAAGCCAATAGAGGCATGTACTGCAGTGTTTTACGCAAGATCAATGAGTAGGAGCTCCTCACTCCAGTTCCGCAGACTCTCCGCGCAACTGCTGCGGATATAATCATCCACAAAGCGACTCATTTGGCCGACCATGAATTTGCGAATGGTTATCGGTTGACATATACAATCTGTGGCCTATCACCTTGAATGTTAACAAATTAACGTAAAGTATTGATCTCTTTCAGACACAATAGCTGCCTGCGAGCCGTGTTGGCGAAACAATTGGTTGAGCAGTAGATTAGCTAAATTCTTACCGGTAACATTTTGCTGACAGCAGCTAGATAAGCCATCTTAAATAAATGTTCAGCAGAGAACACCGAACTGGTAACGTCAGACGCGTCTTTTGAAAAATCAAAGTTTTAACTCATACTGATTGCCTGCCAGCACTCTGATATAACCGGCAGGCTGCTCAAAGGTGCCGCCATATGTGGCGAGGTTTTACCGTTGACAGGTTTAACATGTTTAACATGTTTGTTTATATGTGCCAGCTCACATATATATGACAAGCCACCTACACACAGGATCCACCGAGCAGTTTGTTATTTCTGTTCCAAAAAGGCCATATCAGGTGTCTCGTAAAGTATTTTGATATCGAGGTCTTCGTCATGAGACCCGAACACGCGTTGTGTTTTCAGTTGATCACCGCTGGATCACAGAATCTATTAAGACACTTTTGCACGATAGCATGAAAGGAAAGTAAATGTTTCATCAATCGGCCTCGTATATTCTATAATTTCTGACCACGCACTGCGAGCTACATTTGACTCGTACGCTGTACGTATCGCCTCGTCAATAATCGACGTCACCAAAGCGATATTTAAAAGTTTAAATATTCATCGTTATTGACACGAAAGCGCATCCGCTACCACAGTAAACCGGTCCAAATTATATCTATATCTTCGAAAATTTAGTAAAGAATGACGATCATTTTGCCATTATCTGTAGGATATGTGATGGCGATGTCGCTGTGTGCAACGATACATGATCCGAATAGATCACAAACGGCTTTGATTGAATCATTTGCACCCTTTATTTACCAGGGGAAATTTATTTTCTTGCATGAACAGGATAGTTTGTTCCGGGTGGTAAGGTTTGAACGCAATTATGTGTTCAGATCCATGGGTATCTACTTGGAGTAAAGCGCAGCGTATTACAAAGGCTAATGCGTTACAGACGGCGTGATATGACCGATCAGGATTTGTTGAAGCCAGAATTGGATATTACATGAGATTCCTCTCCAGACCTCCAGTCTCTTAGAAGTAAGGCGGTCAGCCGCCTTACTCTAAGAGGATGGAAAGTAGTCATGTTCTATCGGCATTACTTGTTATGCACTTGGAAAAGTAATCAGCCAGACCAATCAAGTTTCTCAGATCCTCTTGGAGCTGCGGCACTGGCAAATCTGCATCGGCCATCATCTTCGCGAATTTGTTTCTCAATGGATAAAAAAAGGATTTTGTCGACCCCAGAAACACTATGAACGAGTAACTAATTTCGGGCGGGTACACACGAACACCGCTCGCAAGTGTTTAACGTTTCCGACTTGCCGTGCTCTTCGTGACCAAGGACGAATGTATCATTGACCTTTGGTATGCGTGTAGCCACGATGTTGTCTGAATAGCTGAATACCTGAGCACTTGAACGTCGCTTGTATATCAACATTTCCAGATCAATTTACTCACATTACTCACCACAGGGTGATGGGAATCGCTAGTTCTCATCACTAGTTGGTAAAAATCATTAACTAGATCGAGATTACATAACAATGTGCAGCCAGCAGTGCTGCTCATCAACACATCCTTTTGGGGATCTGGTGGTGCGAAGGCATCGTGGCAGCATTAGCTAATATAAGCATTCACACTTTGCCACTTGCCGTTGGCCTTGCTGGCACGGATGGTTAGTGCTGAATTTTTCAGATTTGGTTTATCCACCAAACATGCTTCGTTGTTCGCACAACAACGATGGACAGCGTCAGTGATCTCACACGTTTACTTCGTTAAAGGTGACTCAGCGTATGGTCGTTGGCACCAAGCCAGCTTCATGACGCGCTTCCATTTTAAGACGCGTGATGTATCTCTCGCCAGCACGTCGTGATATTTCTTTAACAAAGGATAGATAGGATCCATATAATTCCTGAGAGCAGATATACCCTTACTCGCATCTGTGAGTGTCGTCAATGCCAAAAGTATTGATTACGGATGACGAGCGCAGCTGTGCCTTCAGTATGCACCGGACCATTTCGCTTATCACCGCCACCTTGCAATTCCTTGCACAATTCCCTGGGGGACTATTCCTCTAGCTCTACAAAAGTTTTTTGGAAAGCAGTAAAGGAAGATGTGCAACCCTTAGGACCACCTCGATCACTAACTTCACAAGTAAGCCACAATTTGTGGAGCTCCACTGCCCCGCGCGGTGGGCCCGTCACTCATACTGACTTTCCTTTTTGGCTCGGGGACCTATACCTTTTACTCGCAACTTGGAGCGACATTCAGTTGTGTTCACTATCCACCAACCCTGGCCCAGGAGGCAACAGCATATCACCCCTTCCTTAAGAAGGTAAGGTAGAAGCGAAGCGAATGATCTTGATGCGAGCTGCGCCCTTTCGAGGACCTTCCATGAATAAGAGAGGATCAGATGTCATCGCGGTGATTAAGATTCTTAGTGTATTGACATAGTCTGCCAATTCCCACTTACTCTGGCGAGTCGACAAGAGCTTTGAGCAAGCTCAAAATGCCGGTATATGTGGTGCGAATACCCGCAACATCAGTCTCTTCAAATTGCTTCACAATGGGATCTCCCTTACCGAGGTACTGCACGTAAGCGCCATTCTCGCGCGCGTCGCGCCGTGGCTTCGTTTAGAAAGTAACAAAAATTGACTTTCTCGTCACGATCACAGCTTTTCTCGCCAAGATTTCTGCACCCCATCCCTCAATTCTAGGACGATTAACACCAGCGGCTCATAGTAAAAGTAATCTGTTTCTTCTCTGGCGCCCGGTTGAGGCGCTGCTGCACCTGCCTTACCAGTAAATCCTTTAAGTTTATGATCATCTCCAGATGAGAAATTAACGTTTCTGGCCTATTGGTCGCCAGTTCAAAGATCTCATCGGAGCCCACGATAGACGTAAGCCTGTTCAGCGGATCTGTTCGTCTCCAAAAAAGGTATACTAAACATTTTATTCTCTTTTCTTGCAGAAGAAACAATCTTTTCTCCACTCGGTCGTGGGATTCTTTAAAGTGCAAATAAGTGCAGCAGGGTAGCCGTACACTTTGCTCAGAGAAAGCTTTTACTCACAGAATCCGCGTTAACGAACGCCCAGAGGAAGATTTCGTGCGTTTCAGATAGGAGCGAAATTGAGAAATTTTAAATGACCACACTCAGCTCTTTCATTATCAAGATTTAAAGACTAATCCAATTTGGTCTTATACTAAGAATATGTGTTTCACGATCTCCAGAATAACTTTTTGACGTGCGGTTAGCAGCCACTTGCACCTCAAAATCTTACATACATACAGAAGGTCCAAAACTGTTCCTTCATTTAATGGCAAAGCTTAGCCCATTACATCATCCCCTCCCAAAAACTCAAAAGTACTTTTGCAGACCTTCTAGAGCAGCTCACTATCCGATCAACAATGCAGTGATCAAGTGAACAAGCCAACTTGAATTAGCGTTTCTCGCATAAACGGCAAAGGACCCCTCGTTTTCGGAGCTCTGTAATCTTCATTAATATCGATGCTCTGGTACTCTGAAAATTGATGATTAGACAAATAGATGAACGTAAAGATGTAATGACGCAGCCCCACTTGATGCCTTTGATTTTTACTTTATGTCCGAAGACATCAGCTAATGAATACTGACCCCGTGTCAATTTTTCTCACTAAGAGCGTGGATCCTGTTTGTATTATGATTCATCACTTTTAAGGCGCTTTGCAATTGCTTTCAAAAAGCAAATCTCTAGAGGCTTGTAAAACTCGAGAGCTCCTTGTTCTTACTACTTGCTTTACCATTTGGCTCGAAAAGAACAATGAAAACAAAGCTTTTGAGCCGACATCAAGAATGCCTTATTCAGCTTGAAAGTCGAGGTTTTCTCAGATGAGAGTAGTCCAAGCGACTAATCGGTGTTTGACTCACTACCCCCAACTTCTCCAAAGGCTTCACAGCCTGACCGTTTTCTTCTCGTATCACAGCCTCTCTGAGGATTGCACTACCTAGCGTTCACGATGACGGTTGCGTAAGCTTTGCATGTCATACCCAGAAAAGATCAGTTAAGCACATCGCCACCAAACTGAACATACGGCTTTCATCAAGTAAAAGGCTAAGCATGTTTGTCGTCAAGTGCAATCCACAAAAGCCAGAGTTTTAAAATGGTTGCTTCAAATATATTATGTCGGGGCTTTGGCTTCCATGGAACGAATCCATCGGAAGCCGTTCAACACACTACGGTGCAATTTTTTAATTTCATGTGTGTGGACCAGCAGTTCTTTCTCGAAAGTAGCGTACGCAGGGCTCAATTTGTAATAGATTCTCTCACACTTTGCAGAACATCACCTGCGGCTGGATCAGCAACATCGACGTCGGTTGGAGCTATCGTGAGCTATACTTTTGGTGATGAGGCCTGCTGATAGTGCCAAGATCATCATACTTACCGCTGTCAGCGGAATATCACTTGCTTTTATGAGCAATTGGTAATATCCATCTACCAAGTTGAGGCATATCAAGGCATGGATTGAAGAAGCCACGTCGCTTTTAAATTCTGTGGCTCTACAAATAAATTCGTTGAAAATGAACGTCCGAGCAGAACGTCGATTGATGATCTATAAGGCAATACTCAAACGAGATGTCAATGTCTAGGTCAGTACTTCGATTAGCCTTTACTTCATGCTGTTGTAAGCACTGTACTTCATCTTTTGCAGTGGTACTTCGACACGTTAAAAGATTCAGTACTTTTAATTTTCTTTTCGAATTTGAAGCATAAACGGATAAGTGCTTCAAGACGAGTAACACAACGTTTGACGTTTAGAGGGCGCCTGAACTTATGTGGGCTTCCAGACTCACGCAATGAGTTAATTACGGGTTTGTTATTATGTAGGGATATTATCAATTTAACTAACGACTTTTGATCACTTTGTCCTACGTATAAAATACTTGAAAGAGTTTCGTTTCGAATCCTCCAAAAGCCATTAAAAGGATACTCTAGATGCTTGTTAATGTGGACTCTACGAGTCGAGAGCTTTCTCGACGCAAATTGTCTCGATGGCATGTTGCACCTGACAGTACGTGCAGTCAATAGCTTGACTGGACAAAATACACGTTATAACCTTCTGCCTTTAGTAGCCTCCTAAAGATAGCTCAACCGTTAAACAAGTATCGAAAGCGGTGCCGCTTGACGAGGATGCGCTCGTAGATATTATTGAATCAGACGTCAGCAAAAGTACAACAAACCCGATAGAGCTCCATACAGCGAAACCGCTTCTGTAAAGCCTTAAGGCCTTTAGGCAAGAACACGGAAGACTTCGAAAACTGATCGCGAGAGATCGAGACCAATACAGACTTGACTCTACTCAAAACAGGGCATCAGCGTGTTGGGCTATCTATCTCCAAGCATATTAAATAACACTTTTGCACTATCCTTAAGATTTTAATTTGGAATCCCCTGTTTATTAGCTTCGCCATGGCAAATCTTGCGAGTCTTGGTATCCGACTTACCGCATAGTCGCGATGGCAATTGACCACTTCCCGAATTCGTTAACAGTCGAAAAAGGCGCTGCTCGAAGCGAGATCTTCTGTGTACGCCTAGAGAATTTGAGCTTCATGTTTATTTCTTTCTTCGTCTTGACCGGAATTGCGATTTCAAATACGTAGATCGCGTTTTATCATAGCTTTGATATCCACGTGTGGTCGTACTGGCATGCTGTTCACCAAAACATCATCCCTCGTTCTTAAGGGCAGGGGATAAGAGCCAAACAGTAGTCTTATATCCTAATTTTGGATATGTAGAGTAGACCCGGTATCAAAGTTGAAGAGCTAGTTTTGCGCTGCAGAAGCTAATCACATATTCTTCATTCCTTTGCAAGCCCTAAGCAAACGATGATGTCCATTGTGCCTTAACCGTTCAATTTGCAAAATCTTTCATCATTCTAAACCATAAACGACGGTAATGCACTAGCAATCGCGTGAGGGAAGACTTCATTTCTATTTTCCAAATCTTCACGACAACGTATCTATAAATCGCTATCAAGTAGGACGCTAAATTGCTCGACTTAGGGTGAACATCGAGTCGTAGATAATCTAACGCAAGAGATGCCTGTCATCCTCAAGCCATCAAAACTTATGATACTCGAGTTGCTCGCTGTGTATTCCCCTCTTGAGTACATGGCATCTACAAGATAATTGTTCAACGAAACACCAAGACAGTCAACAAGACAAGTCATCAAATTCATGATTTACTGTATCTAATTTAAAAGGAAATATGCACGCATTTATCAGCACGAACCTCCTTTTACTATGTAGTATATAAATCTTGTCCTTCCTCCAAAATCTTTCAACTCCCGTCGCAATGAGCATCTCAGGAAATTTCCTCGCGTGTGTGCAGCAATATGAAGAAATTTTTACAAACGTCCCTGGCACATTTGCGAACGAATCATACAAAACACGCTTGCCCGATCTTCTTTATGACTGTGTGGCCCGCAATCACGACCGGTTCTCAAAAGCTCAAAGCAATCGTCTACTTCAGCTGGCCAAAGACATGGCAAACGATGCTACTATCCCATTGCCATCGAAATATTCGGAACAATTCGCTAAATCACCCACTAGTGCTCAATGGGAATCTTTACTTGAGGGTAAAAATTATACGTGGCAGAACTCACCATGGTTTCTGAGCGAGCAGTACATGTTTCACCTGGTTTTGCTACTCGCTGAGTACTATACGACGGGCATTGACCCATTTCACCCGTCGAAAGTAGCTGAACTTGAGGAAACTGCTCCATGGAAGTTTCTACAGACTGCTATAAGTCTAAAAACTGTAAGTTTAAGCCTCGAGGATCAACTTCGACACTATATGAAATTATGTTTGTGGGGCAACAAAGCTGATGGATGCTATAAAGAGGTGAAAAGCACAGTTACTGGAGCTGGTGCTTCGCTTATATTTGACGACGATTTGCTCCTTGTAGACCATAGCGAGAAAGTCATTGAGTACTTAAAGCAGAAGGCGCGTGAAAGTGATGCCCTAACTTTAAATGTGGAATTTATCAATGATAATTGTGGCACGGAACTTCTGCTAGATTTAGCACTAGCAGATCACTTACTGGCTAATGGCTGGTGCGGGACTGTGAATTTTAATATCAAGGTTGAACCGATGTACGTCTCGGATGCAACGCCGGCTGATGTGCATGAGCACGTTGAAGAAATGCGGCGCAATATTCGTACACCGGAAATTCAGGCTCTGGGCGAACGTCTTGCTGACTATATTCAAAAGAATCAGCTTGTCATACGTCCAGACCTCTTTTGGAATCGTTATACTTACTACTGGAAGATGCCGACAGAGCTTCACAATCGTTTTGCATCTGATGCGACTCTGGTGATTATCAAGGGCGACTTGAATTATCGTCGCCTTCTAGGCGACCGTCTGTGGCCACCATCAACTCCTATTGAAGAAGCCGTGCCTTACTTTCCTACTGCTTTCGTGTCGCTCCGAACATTAAAATCAAACCCTGTAGTGGGCATTCCTGCGAACATTGTCGAGAAGCTGGAGATAGATGATCCTAAGTGGCGGTACAATGGCAAGCGAGGCACAATTCAGAGCGTACTTGCTCCAAACTTACGAGAAGCGTAAAATGTCAGAGCAATAGACCAAAACAATCGATGTGTTCCTTGATTTTCAGCAATAAAAACGCGAGGCTAGACATAGCTACTAAAAAGCAAGCTATCGAGAGTTTGATCATTTTTGCAAAGTCACTGGCTTGCAGCTGCAATATGCCGACATAACGAGTTCGGAATTGATGACTACGTCAAGAATTCGACGTTGATAACTCCATTCCACAATCTTTTTAAGGCACGACACCAATATCCCGTCTTAATGACCTGATCACTGCAGTTCACACTGTCCATTTATCTTACTTGTCCTCTGAACACCAAACTCTTTAACCATGTCTTTATCATTTCACGACAATTCATCAGAATTGCTTTCCAGAATTGTGCAGCAAATATAATCCTCACGCTTAGGATAGATCGTCGTAGCATGGCCACAAAGTGCATACGCATAAAGTAAAGCAAGGCGGTGAACAAACGCTTTTCACCATCGCATTCTTCCTATTCTCAGGCTAAATGTTTGCTAGTGCCGGTTCCTGCACTTACAAAGCTGCAGTGAGCAACCCAAGACATCAATAAGATTTTTTGAATGCAAGCACTTGGTAAAGGCCTGCAATTTCCCACTCAGCGTCCGATATAGAGCCACGAATGTTAGTCACGTGCATCTTTTCCAATAGCGAGCGATTACGATCATGGTCTTTGCGCTGTTGAATAAAGCGGTGAAAATTCTGCTTTAAAAGAAGCTCAAAGCCGTGTTCTCGTAAGAGCTTTGCTAACAGATCATCTGGGACTAAATATTCCGGTAAATCGACGGCTTGACTCCCGCCACCTTCAGTATCATCCTCAACTTGATCACGCAGCGTGAAGTTATACCGCAAACCAAAAGTGCCTTCCGCAGCGGCATTAGGTCCTGACAGCTCTGCTCGTGTAGCGGCATCAAATCGAATGCAGCACATTTCGCGATCTTTTTCGTCCCGAATGCTCACATCAGGCACATTTGCGTCTTGGTCCTCCTTTTCCTTTTGAGGAGGCCGTAATCCCTGATAGTATTTCATCAGTAACATATTCGGATCCACAGTTGTTGCAATGAGAACGCCACCATCTGCAAGAAGCTCATGCACGGTAGAAAAGAAGCGATTCGCGCGTTGTGCATCACCAAACATATAGTGAAATGAAAATTGTACCGAAACAATATGAAAGCTGCCTACCGCCCAGTTCAACAACGGTACTGCATCATGCCATCCTTTCTGCTCATTCCAGCAGTGCATTTCATCTCGTAGTAAGTCAACAATTCCCAAATCACCTTGAATAAACTGCACTACTGTTTTCTTTCCTTCTCGATCACGTCCATTTCGTAAAAATGAAGCGTATCGCTCAACAGCATCTTCGAGCGACTTTTGAGCAATATCTACACCAACGTACATGGCAAGATTTCTCTTGGTCCACTTCATTAAATCACCACCTTTGCCACAAGCTAGATCTAACACACAGTCACCTTCATGTCGCGAGAATTCATTGATCAATATCGACTTGACCCAATTATTTAAAGCGCGCATATGAAACAGCAAACTGTCTGCTCTGTCACTTTGTGCACGTCGCTGTAATTGATTATAGAATGCGGCGGCAGCATCCGGATCTTTCTCTTTTTCGTCTTCATAACTTCTTGCTAACAAGTTCTTGTTTGTATCTTCTCTTTCGTTACTGTGCTGCGGCTGCTCTGAACTTGATACCAAATTCGAGATGTTCATTGTTCTCGAAAGCGGCACTGCGACGTGCGGAGACTCTACCGAAAACGACGATTAATCATTAAAAGTTCCACGTTTTTCAGCAATATTTTTACTAAGTTACCGAAAGGTTGTCCTGCATTTAAAGCAGGAGGTCCAGGACTCAATAAATCCATCAGTGAGTTCGACTTTTTCGTTATAAGCTGCGGTGGATCGCATCCACCAGGGGAAAGCGCTTGAGGTGACTTTGCATCATCGTAGGATGGAGCAGGAACAGGAAGTGGCTCTGGGGATGTTACTTCGTTAATTACTTGAAACTGTGGGGAGTTACTATCCTTTTGTAGAAGTACAGGCTTGTCATACGAGATGGTGGCATTCTTGTCCTTGACATGAAAGTAAAAGCGGCGGCCATTGCGATCGAATTGATGTGACCAGCCACGTGGAAGCTCATCATCTACCCAATAAACCTTTTTAGTATGTACGTTGTAGTAGTATGGCATGTTCTTTGAGCGCGATATAGCCACCTCCCACTCAGGCGGCAGGGGCTCCTCAGTCACCATCAACGTTCCCATGATTTAGAGAAATTTGATGTGTACAAAAATCATACGTAAATAAACGAGTTGATATATATATTTACTATATTAAAAGGAAGTTGTCAACTGTGCTACTTTCACTAATTGTTGATCAATTTAGTACTAAATTATCACGTCATTACTTCAATTTATTCTCTAAATTACAGTGGACTTTTGTGATCTGATTGCTAGTTTCATACTACTGACGTAATACTCTGATGATTACTGCTCACTAATTGTAACTTGAATTTATATAAAACTGCGGTTATAAAATAACGTGGTACACATCACTACGTGACATATGTGTATCAAATTCGAAGAAACTGCAAATCTGTCCTTCAAATTTGAGGGCTAAATCCTCCCTCACCCGAGCCAATACAGCGAAGAGATCGGTGAAGAGAAGCCAAGAAAGGGGAAAAAGTCTAGATTTGTATTCTTGCTCGTGAGATTCCCTTGTTGTCATGGATGCTAATCAGATGCATGAGCTTGAGACGCTTTGTCGCGTCTTGTATGAAAGCGGCAACGAGGTAGAGCGTGCGCACGCCCAACAAGCTGTTCTGATACTGCAGAGCTCAGCTGAGTACATTCCACAATGTCAATATGTTTTGGATAACTCATCGTCTCCTTATGCGCTTCTTGTGGCGAGTACAAGCCTTACAAAGCTTATAACTTCGCACTGGAATAACTTTACGACACCACAGCGTGTCGATATTCGTAAGTTGGATATGATCATTAATTTTGTACTCTAATGTTAAATATTTGTTCATTGTCTTGACAGGAAATTATGTGCTTGGATATCTGGCTCAAAAAGGTCCTACTTTGGAGAAATTTGTGACAACCTCTTTGATTCAAATGGTCTGTCGTCTCACCAAATATGGATGGTTTGATGACGAACAACACCGCGAGATTGTGACGGAAGTAACGAAATTTCTGCAAGCAACAGTAGATCACTGTGTTATTGGGCTTCAAATCTTAAGTGAACTTGTGACTGAAATGAATCAGCCGGTATCAGGACGTAGCATCACATTTCACCGTAAAATTGCCGTGTCATTTCGAGAAGATTCACTATTTCGAATCTTTCAAGTAGCACTTACATCGATCAAACAGCTTCAGATGCACAATATTCGAGGTGCTACACCACAACAGGAAGCAAAGATGGGGGACCAAGCTTTGACATTGCTCATTAAATGTCTTTCTTTTGATTTTATTGGCACGAATCCAGACGAATCATCGGAAGAGACGGGATCACTTCAAGTACCGACGTCTTGGCGCTCGGTGATTCAAGACCCAAACACATTACAGCTGCTTTTTGACTATTACAAGACAACAAGTCCACCGAATACATCCAAGTGTCTGGAAAGTTTAATGCTCTTTGCTTCTGTTCGTCGAAACCTCTTTTCTCCTGATAAAGAGCGTAGTGTGTACCTGGCCCACATGCTGAAAGGCATCTGTGCTATATTACGCGCTCAGGATGGACTGTCCGATCAACAAAATTACCACGAATTTTGTCGTTTGATTGGAAGATTAAAGTCAAATTACCAGCTATCTGAGCTAATGAAGACTGACTTATTTGAGGAATGGATGGAATTGACCCCCGATTTTACGATCAAATCGTTGCGTCAGTGGCAATGGTCCGCTAATTCGACGCATTATTTATTGGCGTTATGGGCGCGACTTGTTGCAGCGTTGCCGTACGTACGATTAGACGCCGTGCCTGGCTCTCCTAATACGGGCGCGATCAATTTTTTGGACTCACGAGTTCCCCAGGTGATCCAAGCGTATTTACAGTCTCGTCTGGATTCGGCTGAGCAATGTGCGCTTGACGACACATTAGACAACCCACTTGATGATGAGGGAGGACTTTACGAGCAGCTTGAAAAATTACCGACGCTGTGTCATTTAAATTACCGTCAGACAGGTGAGTACATTGTCTCAGTCATGGATCCAATTTTGAACCAGTACGCTGAAGCGTGCAGTATCTTGGATCAAAGTGGTGCAACAACAATTTTATTGCCACAGCAGCAGCAATTGCAAAGCATGGAGAATCAAATCGCTTGGCTAGTCTATACGATCGGTGCCATTATTGGTGGCCAAACGTACTCATCAACGTCGACTGAAGGCGATGAATTGATCGATGCAGATCTTTCACAGCGAGTATTTCGGGCAATGCAGTTGACAGAACACCGAATCATTGCGTCAGGTGGCCAGAAAAAGCCAAGCATACACTTTGAGTTATCATTGCTGTATTATTTTAGCAGCTTCCGCAAGAGTTACGTTGGTGAACAGCATGGTATGCCATCGGCCCCGACGCCATCGACTTCAATGCAGCCAGCGTCAGCCGGGTCGCCGATCATGGCTCCTGCAGAAACTGTTAATTCCTTTAAGCACAAAGCGTATTTGCGAATGTTTGAGCGTCTAGGACTGGGAGACCACACGGTCGTTGTGAACATGATGGTTACAAAAGTGGGCAATAATCTCAAGTTCTGGGGTGATATCGAAGTTGTAATTAGCAAAACTTTGACCCTTTTCTTTGAGGTGGCATCTGGTTATTCGTCTGGCAAACTTCTTCTTGGTTTGGAAACGGTGCATTACTTGATTGCGAATCATACGGCGGAGGAATTTCCGTTTCTGGCCATTCCCGCCAACACGCGACACCGTACGACGTTCCACTCTACAATTGCGCGACTAATTTTCACAACAGCGTTTGATGAGTCTTCCGAGCGGTTTGAACGGTTCATGGAGCCCATTGAAAGCGTTTTAAATCAGTTGATGCAAACTCCAAATTACCGATTACCCGAAGTTCGCGAAGCAATCATTGGTGTATGTCGTGATTTGCGAGGAATTATTGAGCAAACGCACAATCGACGCACGTATAGTTGCATATTTGATCTATTGTATCCAGCTTACTTTTCAGTGTTTATTCGTGCTGCTGATGAATTGTACGACTATCCGGCTGTCACGACTGCTCTGCTTAAGTTCTTACAGGAATTGGCCTTCAACAAATCTCAACGAGTAACTTTTGATCAGAGTTCAGCAAGTGGAATTTTGCTTTTTCGTGAGTTGAGTAATGTGGTGGTAGCGTATGGACGACGGATACAGTCAATGGCACCAGTAAAGAATCCCTACAGTGAGAAGTATAAGGGGGTGGCGTTGTGTCTAGGGATTCTGTACCGAGCACTAGGTGGAGTCTATGTCAATTTTGGAGTCTTTCAGCTGTACAATGATAAGTCGTTGGAAAATGCTTTGGAAGTTGCATTGCAATTGGTTTTATCAATTCCTCACGAAGATTTGATGCACTATCCAAAGGTGAAAAATGCGTATTTTTTCTTTATAGAAATTTTGTTTCGCAATCAATTAGCATCTGTTGTGGCACTGGATGATAATATCTTTCGTCAATTGGTTCAGTCACTACATGATGGGGTGAACTCGTACGATTTATCCATTGCTGCTCAGTGTGCAACGGCTGTTGATCATTTAGCATCACTTTTCTTTCACGAAATGAAAAAGAAACGCGATACACCTTTGAAACATGCGCTACGTGCGCACGTGCAACAATCGCCTAGTATGTGGTCAACTTTATTGGCGCTTTTGTTGGACATTTTAGTATACGGTGAAGCGAATACCCAATGGGCCTTTTCTCGACCGATTTTGAGCCTCACACTTTGTAGCGAAGAAGCTTTAACAAACTATCAACAACAATTAAGTTCAACCCAACCACTTGAGAATCGGGCAAAGATTGAAGAAGCTTTTGCGGCATTATTTGCAGATGTGCGTCCGAATTTGGAGGCGACGAATCGAGACAAATTTACGCAGAGACTTGGCCAATTTCGCAACACACTACGCAGTTTCTTAACGATCCAGTAATTTAGTTTGGACAATTGCTGTGCGAGTACTGCAATGTTTGAGGACGGACAGAATGCGTAAAGTCTGGATGGTATGGCTAGTTGCTAGTAAGTAGTCCGTAGATTGGCACTTGTGCTATCCCAGACTTTACGGCTCATGTTAGTGCAATATAGAAAGAAGCTACCAATAGATTCACAACGGAATGCTTGAGTCTTGAAATGTAAGGCAGCGCTTAAGCACTTGTTCTTGGCAACGAAGTTATTCTTCATTCAAACCATAACCTTTTGATCAAAATCGGAGTTCGCAATGTATACTACTCGACAGTTAGCAGCGTTAATTTGAAGCTTAAGTCAAACGTTCACGTCATTTAAATTCAGGCGACTACACGGCGACGTTGCAATTGCATCCATCCATTTAAGAGTCGTGACCTTGTGCTTATTGTTCATGTGAATCAATATATAAAGCACCAGTTGGTGATCGATGCACAATTGGTCCAGATTTACTGCCATGTCGATTCAGGCGAATGTTTAAGATATTTCGTGTAAGGTCTGTACGCCATTCCTGAGAGATGATGCTTTTGAGATCAGCATCACTTAGATATTTCCCTTTGCTAAATATATGTTAAGTAGTTGATAGTTGGAATCATTAACAAATAAACGTACTCTTTCATTTCTCGGCGTAATTCTTTCGTGGCCCACATTGTATAGGAATCGTTGGGGTGCTGCAAATTGGGGTTCTCTCGGAATGTATTCACCTTTGTACCATAGTACATTATCCGCATGGGTTTTCCGGCAAATTTCTTCCATTTTAAAGGAATCTGCTGCTCGATGCATCCGACTCGACGTGTCGCCTCGTATTCGTGTTCCGTTTTCATGTTTTTTTGGTTTGAAAGCGTTTCAAAGATCATGATCAAATGTTTTGATAAATAAAATAGCTAATGCATTATATTTATGATATCATGGCGATGGTGCGTTGCGAAGCAGCCCATAGATAAGATGAAGCGCAATTTCACTCTCAAGATACACACCAATCTCCTCAATCGCGCACAACTTTTATCGAGGTATCTGACACGATTAAAAAAACGACTTGGCAGCTTAAAGCCAGATAACTGACTCAAGGTGCTATGACGTCCGTCACAAGCCGCGCTACAATTATTTCGATATTTGAGACGACTGTATTTCTTACATTTAGAGGTGCGAGTCTACGATTCCTGTATCGAATATACCAGAGATTGGCGCTGAAATGTTGGTTCCCGCGTAAGCAGGTGGAAAAACAGATGGTTCCAACCGTAGGACCATTGATGTGAGGCCTTTAGGCCTTTGAGAGCCAGACTGGGAAATTTTCTCCCTTTAGATGAGTGAAGATGATGTGGTGATGAACTCGGCCTTGATTCAGTCGGCGCCAAAGCGTGTTGCGCGTGCAATCCCCAAACTAGGAGCTTGCGCGCGAACGTGCACTTACCTCGGTAAAAGAAGCCATCCTGACGAGAGGCAATTTGATGTGACAGATGTCACGGGTATTCGCGCCGCCTAACCAGGCGTACCGAGCGCCCGGAGTTCATGTCTTCTCGTCAATGAAGTTGTGAATTGGTAAATTGTGTCCAAGAGCCTAAGACTCTGGTTGCCACGATAGTGCCTGATCCTCTTCCGTAGGCAGTCACATTCATCATCATGATAGATAGCTGTAATATTCATCATCGTGATGGGTGCATTCAAATGTAAGTGGTTAAAACGAGAACTTCCTCGTTCAATCCACCGCTTCTAAGGAAGCACTGGACGTCGCATTCTATGTGGAGCACAACTTCCGTTCTGCGAAGGTGGGATGGGAGGCTGAGAATGTAAGCATACCGAGAGCACCTGAGGCGATGGATACATGCTATGCCTACGAAGATAGAGATCTGTAAGCTGCTAAGTGGATCCGTGGTTTCTGCAAGTGCCTCATATGCGGCTCAATTAAACATCTGCATCGTGCTATCACGATTTGATTTCAGTTAAAACGTAAGAAAAGTCAGCCTCCAGGCTAGAGAAAACGACGAACCCCTCCATAAGTTCGGATCCCAGCAGGTGCAAATTGGCCTGATGAAAATGACCAAGCTTTAATGTTTCTCGTTGAGGTCGTGGTCAACTGAACCCAGTTTCTAGATCAGTGCTATTTCAAAAGAGAGAGTGAGCGCACAGCTCAGGGTTGCTGGTCGTCAAAATCATACTTTCTCGAATTTGTGAAGCCGTGAAAACTCCTAATAGATATTGGGGTGCCGTGAGATGCATGGCAGCTGAAGACAGTAAGCGGTACGCGGAGACATCGAAGACGCCAAATACGGATGTGATACTCGTGCTTACGTCGACGGGGACAATGTGAAAACTGTCAAAGGTTATGATGAGCGTTTGATTTAAGGTTGAAGACATTGGTAGCGCAGAACGGTGACTAGTCCCAAATCAAGATTCGATAAACGGTATCGTTTAAGGCATTGCATGACTAAAGCGTCATGATCCATGGGTCAACTGAAGTCGAAAAAAACAGGGCTACACTGTTTCCTCTCGGTAAAGCATGGACAAACCTTCGTCTTTAAGGAGACAGAAGTGCCGTTGGTGTGGACACAACACTGCTATAGCCGTCGTTCAAAGTATTCAACTGTCGAAAATAGATAGCAGCGTATTTCTAGGTGCCTCGAGTTGAAATCAGATGGCAGAAGTTCAGTGAGTCAATGTCTTGGGATGGGAAAAAATATAAGAATTATATATTTCTCGAGTGGATCTTCACCAATGAGGAATGAGCTATGGTGTATCTGGTATCCTATTCCATGCCTGAGGTGAGGGGCAAATGTCATGTGCAAGTCGAAGGGCGAGTCCTTGTCTAGAATCTAGTGAATGTGGTCAATCCTTGTCATGATGAATTAGAATAGCCGATTCAGCCCTAATGTTTAGCATGTCCACCGAGCAGATCACATAATGAATGTGAGAAAGGATATTCACTCATGAGTGGAGCTATCGGGGTAATCGTAGAAATCATTGTTAGTCTCCCCTTACTACGTTTGACAGAATAATGATAGAGCTCGAGGAAACTTATCTCGGGGATACGTGCTAAGCATTGCAAAAAGGCGAGGTCAACGAATTGATGCAATGCGAGCTGGAAGAGAAGCTAGGCTCATCATCCGCAATGGATGAGTCTGTCGTTGAGCTCGCTCGTATAGCACCAAATGCAAGAAGTATGCCAGCTATATCCAGTGATTCTAATCACACTTTCTATAATTGTTGAAGAAGTATCACGACGATGTGACGAGAGGTCTACTACGCGGGTTAAAATCGGACGGGTAATATGTTATTTGATTACCTTGGCTCCCAAACCAAATTTTGAGTCACGCGGCAACGGTCCGTACCAGTAAAACGGCGCGATATCATCGACACTATCATCCAAGCACAGAGATGATCTGTTGAGAGGGCTTAATCTGCACAACTTTCTGTGTCAGAAGGACTGAAGTCAGTGGCAAATTGTGCAAGCTTTAACAATCTGATGCAGCCACAATCCTTAGCGCGAACGCCAATTATTGAAAGAGTATGCTTTGTTTAGCGCCCTATACATAGTTGCTGTTATTGTTATTCAGTGATTTATAAATGTGCTTTTCTGCAGTGAACCATTCGCGCGATATGCTTTGCGATAGTATATTTATGACGCAAGGACTGTCTGATGCAGCTAGCGATGTCCTATCGTGTGGTAATTTAGCTGTCCTCGCCACGTCATGGTAAGCACAAATTATACCAAAAATGTCTTTATCCATATTACAAGACCTCGTGTATGTAAAACCACATTAAACCCGAATGTAAAAGCCTAGTGGAACTATAGCCAATACAAATGTCAGTATTTTCAAATCCGACAAAAACTCCTCGTTGGATTTCTTCATTGTGAAACCCATTCCGCGGGCGTATCTGCAAAGATGATGGTCGTTACAGATTGACCAGCGCCTTCGTTCCACAAGCACCTAAGAAAATGGCTCAGCCTGGTTCACTACTTGAGCAGATACAATGCGAATTATGCCGATATACACTGCCCGTCACAAACTCCCGTAAAAAATTTAATTGATATAAGGTGCGACAAAAATGACGGCTTTTAAGGTTGCGAAAATTGTTTGCATATGTGTTTGAATATTTCTTTCTGATCCGGGTTGACCATTCCACGTCGTCCGTGGTGCTTCGTCCTTCGCAAAAAGCTGCGCTTCGCCAATGAACATGAACGCTTGGTTGCGTTCAATTTTTTGCCAGCTGAAACTTCTGTTTAAAACTTTCTGCTCGCAGCAAGGAATTACTTGCCATGAATTTTACCTCGTCAACTTTAGCGTACTCCCGCTTGGCTCTATTCCGTTTTTGATCTATGCAGACCATTCGTCCATGTCAACTGAATAGTTGTTATCACATCTTTCATCGGAAATGACAGGGTGGTCACCCTTCTTTGCCGAGTATACCTTTTGACTAAGATGTATACCGGATTAGCTTTATGTGGCGCCGGAGGTGCTTTCTTGTTGCCCCAACGGTATATTTCCGCATGTCAAAAAGGTGATGTCATTGTGAAGAAAGAAATTCTGGCATTGTATGTATTAGGCGCATAAAGTGCAGCCATGCTGAACGCTTTATAAAAAACGCGTTTGACAACTCTGATGGCGCTTTAATCAAGCGTTTGGTGCACGCCTACATGGCTCAAAATCATTTCGCGGGTTGGTGTGTTACAGCTCATACCAACATGACACTCAGCATGTATCGATACCTCACCAATCGTACACCTTGTCAAAGGAGTACGAATGATTACGGTCTCCCTTAGTATGCGAAAATGCATACAACTCGCGGGGCATTATATTTTTGGTGATTTTACATTAAGAAATATGTGGATGTGTAAATCGTGTCGACGGGCTACATTCGTGCGACATAATCACCAATGACCTCGACGAGGCACAGAGGCGGCAGCTGGACGCTGCCCGTAAGGTGGCTCTGATGCGTGTCCATCCACGGTCGGTCATTGACCCTCGTGTGGAATATGACTTCCGCCCGGCAGAATCTGCTGTGGAAGCGAAGAACGTGATAACTCGATCGTTATGCCCTCATCGGGCCTCCGGCCATTACGAAAGATGAGCTTGCCGAACGGAAAGCTCTTCGAGCTCGTTTCTTAGTTCCACAAGAATTTCCGTCGGAAGCTTATCCCTCTCGTCTACGTGCGCAACGAGGTGGCTCTCGTGTACCCGCAATGCGGACGATACCTGTAGTGCTTGCCCCTGGCAAAAGCGCTACAGATGACGAAGCACTCTTTGAGCGATGGGTGCAACGGCACCAAAAACTTTCCTCACAGTATGCCTTACAGAAGAGCCACAAGGAAGTGGACGTGCGTGTGGAGAGCCACCTCCGATTCGAGTTTCCAAACTCAAAGCACGCCGTCGACTTCTTTCAGACTGTCACCCTGCGACTTATGGGTCAACTCCTAATGCTCCCGTGAGCTCTGTGTCTGCGACCGCAAGAGCTCAGGGCCTTGCTTGAGCTCAGCTCGTGGTTCTTCTACTTCACTGGCTATTGCCGGGAAGCGCGGGGCGTCTGATGACGCGGGACGTCTTGATTTTTTTTGATCAAAAGCGTCTACGGCGTCTGGGCAATCTTGCCGAAGTGGCGTCTCAAACTCCCACAAGTTTTCGGAGTCGGGATGTCCCCGCCATTTCACCAGACATTGGGTCTGACCCTGGTGACGAAGTCGTCTCACTAGACATTCCACGTGATAGTGGACGTCACCGTTCTCATCGAGAAGAGTCGGTGGCGGGCGATGACGAACGTGTCGACCGCCGTCCTGTGACTCGCGATGCTCTTCGAGCCCTTGAATACGGGATCCTTCGTGATCGGGGCTCCGCTGAGCGTCATGCTGAAGTAGCATGTCGTTGTTGGAAGTTCTTGAGGATTTGGTGCGCGTCGTGCGCCGGCTGCCTCACCTTGAGGACTACCGCTCTCTGTCGGAGCGACTCCTGGCAGTGGAGCAGGTGAATGCGTCGCTGCAGGCAACGGTGGCGCTTGGCTCCATTGGAAATGGAGATTGTTGCACTCCGTGCTCAGAACCAGTTGCTGGTTCAGTTTCTGGGTGGCCGA